TTACGTACAATAAATAAATTAAAAATATATATTTTGATGATTACAACGACCTATTAATGATTTTGTCCTCTCTCTATTTCCTTATTTATTGATATTCACCTAATCAATTTAATAATTGTGGAATCATGCTATCACTTTTCAATTTTTAAACCAAGCTATAATTTTGCAAAACAGTTATAATTAGATTCGAGTAGCCGTCAATATTAATATATTTTATGAATAAAATGGATTGTAAATGTCAACGATTAATTTACCTTGCATTAATCATTAATTTCTATGACTTTATTTACAAATTGTTATAAGTAGAAATAAAAGAAAATGTTTTAGTGTAATAATGCATTAAAGTATATTTAATCGAAGCCTAATTTAATTACAAAGAAAAGTTCTCGTTTATCTATGCATATGATATTGGTAGATTTCATTTAAAAAACTTACGAAGTAGATAACGCAATGGTTATAAAGTATCTATTGATGCAATATGAATGTTATATACTTTCATTATGAAAATCAAACTGCATAATGTTTTTACGATAAAATTCATGTTTTAATGTAGTACGTACGACACTCATTGTCTGATTTTTGTTACCCAACGACATACTTTAAATTGTGCTTAATAGGACGTAACAAAACATTTAAAAAAAACAAAAAACCACAATTACCTTATTTACCTAGGTACCCATACTAATTCTTATCTCTGGTTTTGTTACTTTTAGCATATGGCAAAAAGTGGAAATAGGAGTTCTGATTTATCAGCTATTGTTTAACGAAATAATAATTAAATGTTTTATCCTACTTATAACATAATATACACCGTAATCAACATATTATATGTTCTGCGGGAGCGAATTATCTTTATTATCCTTTTATTTATTCGTGTTTTGATTTGGTAATTTTACTGTTCAGTTAACATGCAAAATTGTAGCTCATTATAATAAATATATATAATATATATATACACTAATAGGTATACATAGGTATATAGGATATNAAGATTGGCAAATTAGATGCAATTCATCGTTTCGATAATATGTATCTAATCTATTATTTTAATGATACAAGTACATGAAGATAACATGTTGTACGTTTTCAAGATCAAGCTTAACAAGGAAACAGTAGGCCGGAGAATGTTTTTTATGAATGTTACGTTAAACATTGCATTTAAGTTTTATCATTTTTTTCCAGACAAATCAACGAAATGGCGGTAAAAGAATGGTTCCGTCAGTCGCAACCTGTACAGTTGTATATCATTCTGATATTAACAACGCTATTTTTTATTACTGAACTCATTATTAGTCATCTCACTCATGCACTTACTCTCTTAATGGACTCGTACAACGTTCTTTGTAACATAATGGTACTGTGTGGATGCATTGCCACGATAAAGGTCGGTTTGCTCATGTCTATAATTGTTTAATTATATCATTATATTTTTTGGTGGTTATTTAAATTACCTTACAAAATGCTTTAGTAAATTTGCGATCTTAAAAATTTATTTAATTTTATTTTTGTATGAGGAGCCATTCTTATTTTAGACCCTCTTTTCTTCCCTGTCACATTGTACAATTGTAATACGCTCATCTGCAAGTTGAAATAGCTTGTGGATTGGTTCAGAATTGTTTTCTTAAAATCTCTTGAAACATCATCTTCACAGTGCTATATCAGGGGCCCTTGGGCAAATAACGTCCTCCTGTGGGACTGTCTGCTGGCGATTTAGAAAATTTATACAAAATACGTTTTCAAAAAAATTATCGATTTCCGGGTAAAAAATGGCTTCAAATTTTTCCACAGTTCACCAAGAATTAGTGACATTTTTTAACAGTAGGTACTAGTGGTCGTATAAAAAATTACAGTTTTGAAGATTTTACTATTGTAATTCCACCAATTCCTTTTCATCCTCGTATATAATTTTATCGCGATTTACAATTTACTTTTCTTCTCTTAGAATGTCATGTAATATACGGATGGACCTAAATAATAATTTGAACTGTATTGACTAACAATATTCGATTTGGATCAATCGAAAAGAATTTTTGTGCTTTCTTTTGCAATAGAAATTCATTTACTATGTGTATTACAAAAACAAGCATTTTATCTTTACAACGCACGTAATTTTTGTGTTTACACCTATTCATTCGTTATCATTACATGACAGAAAAGAATTCATTCCGGAAACTACTGTTGTAATACCTTATTACAGTTCGACACGTGCTACTGTTTGCGACATTGAAAGAAACCATCGTTTGATTAGTATTCGCCATTGGAACTAATTATTACATGAGGACGCCTAAAAAGTCTTGATTTATTAATTATTTTGGCAAGTGGATACTTATTCTATTATCGACTCTTGAGTTTGTCATTTATCTGTTCGTACTTTACTTAGAGTTTTTCACTAAATTAATAGGTAAATCTACTTTGTGGAGCGCGACCATAAGCGCGACAAACTAGAGAAAGTAACGGTACTGCGGAAACTACTGCATCTGTTATTATTTTAGTTTCAGTGTATTTGAAAGTGTTGGCCAGTTTCCACAGTTGTGATTTCCTTGTGTATATAAATCTAGATATGTGTGTGTGTGCTGGTAAGTGGTATGTATGTGTGTAAATACATATATTATGTTAATTTAAACTCATTATCTTCATCCACGTGGTCTGTATTCAAAAACATTCCGCTATAACTTTAGCGCGCTTTTGAATTATCGCTTGTTTTTTGAATTTACATCCTTTGATGTGTATAAATATATTTGGAAAAATTAATACCAATAGGATTGTTATCCCTGTTTATTTGAGTAACGTGAAAGTTAAAATTGCAAAGAACCATTTTGTAAAATTTAAGAACAGTGACACTAATGAATATTAACATTAGAGATGACCTCAAAAGTTGAGTTATGCTTGTAAAAAATGTAAACATTGGAAGTTTACACAAGGGGCAGTTTCTCTTTTAAATATTTTAAAACATTATCTTCCTTGTTTTGAGTTTTAAGAATGGCGGATTATGGAAACTTAAAATTGTATTGAAACATTTTTGTTGATTATACAGACCAGCAATCTTGAGAGATGTTGTATTTGGTACGTGATAGTGATTGGTGTATTGTTATTACATATAAACAACAATATTAGATGCAAAAACGCTATTTCATTTGCCTACAGTTTGGCGAAAGTTGTAAAAATAAATTCATTCTTGTCTGTTTTTTGTACTTTTTTCATCCAATCACAATTTATGTAGGTACCTGTAGAAGAACCGGTTCCTTATAATTTTTCATCTAAAATTTTGTTGTGGAAATTTGGCACTAATAATAATAAGGTACTTAATATGAATGTGAAAATTCATTTTCAATTTTCTATTCACTGCAAACTACCTTAAGTGTAGTGGATGGAAAATGGAAAATGAATTTTCACATTAATATTTCATATTAACCACTATCAATATTTAAAAATATCATAAGCTATTCTGTATTATTCTAATCTAGAAAGAATTCAAATAATACTGAAGATTATTACACGCCTTCTGATGGTACATCTTATATGAAGAGATCATTTGAAAGCTATTGAAATTGTAAGCAATAGGTGAAAAGGGAAATATTGCATATGCCTAGATACACTAAAATAAATTGTGCTTTTATTATTATTATTTCATATAAGTATAAGTACCCAAGATTGGCAAATTAGATGCAATTCATCGTTTCGATAATATGTATCTAATCTATTATTTTAATGATAAAAGTACATGAAGATAACATGTACGTTTTCAAGATCAAGCTTAACAAGGAAACAGTAGGCCGGAGAATGTTTTTTATGAATGTTACGTTAAACATTGCATTTAAGTTTTATCATTTTTTTCCAGACAAATCAACGAAATGGCGGTAAAAGAATGGTTCCGTCAGTCGCAACCTGTACAGTTGTATATCATTCTGATATTAACAACGCTATTCTTTATTACTGAACTCATTATTAGTCATCTCACTCATGCACTTACTCTCTTAATGGACTCGTACAACGTTCTTTGTAACATAATGGTACTGTGTGGATGCATTGCCACGATAAAGGTCGGTTTGCTCATGTCTATAATTGTTTAATTATATCATTATATTTTTTGGTGGTTATTTAAATTACCTTACAAAATGCTTTAGTAAATTTGCGATCTTAAAAATTTATTTAATTTTATTTTTGTATGAGGAGCCATTCTTATTTTAGACCCTCTTTTCTTCCCTGTCACATTGTACAATTGTAATACGCTCATCTGCAAGTTGAAATAGCTTGTGGATTGGTTCAGAATTGTTTTCTTAAAATCTCTTGAAACATCATCTTCACAGTGCTATATCAGGGGCCCTTGGGCAAATAACGTCCTCCTGTGGGACTGTCTGCTGGCGATTTAGAAAATTTATACAAAATACGTTTTCAAAAAAATTATCGATTTCCGGGTAAAAAATGGCTTCAAATTTTTCCACAGTTCACCAAGAATTAGTGACATTTTTTAACAGTAGGTACTAGTGGTCGTATAAAAAATTACAGTTTTGAAGATTTTACTATTGTAATTCCACCAATTCCTTTTCATCCTCGTATATAATTTTATCGCGATTTACAATTTACTTTTCTTCTCTTAGAATGTCATGTAATATACGGATGGACCTAAATAATAATTTGAACTGTATTGATTATGCTACAATTAATTTGTTCGTGGTGGATCCTTTAGGGGACTAATTAGTTTTGTTAATTGTTTTAGTACAATAATTCGTCGTCAACTGCTTCTTCGGAACATTCTGCAATTAACAACACTAGAATTTCTAATGCTGATCAAACAAACAAAAAAAATAGCCAATGTTCCGACAAAAACACTTTAAAGCATACATTAAATATGGAACAAAAAGAAAATAGATTAAGAAACACGTTTGGATGGGCTAGAATTGATGTCGTAATTATGCTTATATGTTGCGTGTTTTTAGCGTCGTTATGTTTTTCGGTGCTTATTGAAGCCCTACAAACATTAATTCACATAGATCATCACGATGAGATGCACCATCCTGTTCCGGTATTTTGTGTGGCAGTTATCGGATTACTCCTGAATGGAATCTGTTATCTTTTAATTGGAGGTATTAACTTATAATGATTTTTAAAAAGTTTAGATTCAAAACAAGTTCATATCAACAAAAAAAATCAGTAAAACAACTTTTATTAAATGAGAATTCTGAAATAAATAGGGTAATAATAAATTTTATTTCTCTTTAATTCGATATTTAGGTCGCTTATCTATCTTTTCGTCAACTTCTTGAGGACATACAATCCGTAGTGGATTATTCAAATTTTTAGCCTTTAAAGAACGCTCAACATTTTTAAATTGAAGTATTAAAAACGCACTAATGTAAAATTTTAATTTAAATACATGGGTAATTTTGAAAATAACGTTTCTTAAGGGTTGGGTCCTCATAAAACTTGGTTTTATTATTTACGTATTAGGAATAATTTTATCANTAATTTAAATACATGGGTAATTTTGAAAATAACGTTTCTTAAGGGTTGGGTCCTCATAAAACTTGGTTTTATTATTTACGTATTAGGAATAATTTTATCAAACGAACGAATCGGGTTCTACTGAAATGATTTGTTAACCTTTTTTCTTTACAAGGATATACTTCTCCTGATGGAAATTTCCTTCGCGTAACCAAATCTGGCGATGTAATTTTGGACAGGGTTACTAGTGAGCCTAAAAACGTTAATAATTGTGATATTTCAAAGACGTATGATATTAAAATTCAAAACAGTACGAAGCAGCCAGGGGAGCTATGGAAATTAACAAAGGACAGCATAGGTAATATAATCGATTACTTTAATAAAAAATATTTGAAATTAAAGTATTTTGATCTGTAATGTAATTATTTTAAGGTTGTATAATAGTAATGGTATGCGCAACTGTGTGTTATTTCATAGAAGAAGATATTGGAAAATTTGTAGATCCAGTATTTTCGTTAGTCTCAGCTTCAATCCTACTCATATTGAGTTATCCTTACAGTAAGTTATTTTTTCATATAATTTAAGTTTTAACTGTTTTCGTTAAAGGGGACAATTTTTGGTACTCGTGGTGCCACATATATTTACCAATTACTTAAGTCTGTCACAGTAATTATTACCAAATTAATTTTATTTATTCATAAAAAGATGTAAATTTATTTTAGTTAAAGAAAGTTGCTGCATTCTATTACAAACAATACCAGACACAATTGACATTGAAACGTTAAAAATGAAACTTTTAAAACATTTTCCCGGCATTATTAGCGTCCATGACCTACACATATGGGAACTAACGGCCGACAAAATTATTTCAACAGCGCATATAATATTTTTAAATCCCAAGGTAGGTACCTAAATAATAAAAATGAATTGTGTAACTGATATACGTAGGCACATGTCCAATGTTGTTGAATTTATTAATTACTTTACCATAAAAAGGTTTACGGTACAATTACAAACCAAGTGACTGAATTCTTCTTGGAACAAGGGATAACTCAGGTAACGATTCAACCAGAATTTTACACGAAATCGATAAGTGCGGAAAGTTTGGTTTCGACAAAATCTGGATGTTTAGTCCGATGCCAAAGTGAAGATTGTAAAACTAGCCATTGCTGTCCAAATTATGACGATGTAAATATTAACATTTGTTTATATTTTTTTCATACTTTATACATTTTTATCGATTAACAGAATAGTCCCTACCAAAAGAAATCATCATCTTCGGAAATATTTCAAGAAGATACATCAGTTAGTCTTAAGTCTGTTAAAACTATTGACGATAATGACCAAAGGCCAGTTGAATCTAGTAGTAGCTGAGCTTATCCAACTTTTGTTTTGGTACAATATAAAAGACGTAAGTACAAATTGAAATCGACAAAGAGTGTACATAAAGAAATAAATAAAAATCTTTGAAGAATCATAAGTTTTGTGCTGCTATTTTAGACAAGACGATATCTCTCAGGATAGATACTTATGTTATATTCTTGTAAAATATTTGTTTTTATTTGTAACAAAGCAATATGCATTTATGTAAAAAGAAAATGTTGATCACAGATGTTACCAAATATGAAAATAGTTTTAAATAAATATTATTTTAATCACCTTCTCTTATTGTAATATTTTTATTTCCTTATTATAAGTGAAATTAATTTCTTAATGAGAAAAGGGAACTCCTTAGCTTCCCTACTAGTCTCCTATTGCCTATTTCAATTTATTAAATAATTACGTGAATCTTTAAGGCGTTAAAATACTGTACAAGTATTGATCAAATTATTTTGTATTTAAAAATATTTTAATAGAAGTTTCAGATTTCTTAGTGAGATCCAGTATGACCATATTCATCATAACTCATGGAAATCATTCGTTTTGATTTACAGGATGGACAAGGTTGATTAAAGCAAAAATATATAAATTTGAATTTATTTATTGACTAGCTATCTTTACTAGATTTCGTACAAAAGAAAAAAAAAAAATTACAAGAAAATATTTTTGCTACAGTTGACAGTTGTGGGGCCACCGTGGAAAAGGTATTGCATCTTTAATATTTTCAATATCCAGTAGAAACTGTAGGTACCTTTCAAAACCAAGTCCAAATCCACCTGTTGGTACACCTCCAAACTTTCTTAACTCTAAATACCATTCAAAATTTTTGTCATCACTTGGTATATTCTTTTGAAGTTTTTCGTAAGTATTTTCACGTAATCCTCCTCCAACTATTTCTCCAACACCAGGAACTAATAAATCCAAGGCACTTACCTATGAAAAAGAAAATAGAAATTACCAAAATAATTTTTATATATAAAAATTTAGTAATCCAGGTTTGTACCTAATTACCTTTTTAGGATTATCTTCACATTCCCTCATATAAAAAGCTTTTACTTGTTTTGGCCAATTTATTACAAAAGTTGGCAAGTTTCCACAGTAAGAAACTACAGCTAGTTCGTCTTCTTTTGAAAACTCAGTTTCACTTCTGGCATCAGTGTCTGGCATCTTCAATTTACTAGATAAAATATTTATTGCTTCATCATAAGTTAATATCACAAATGGTTTGTCCAACCATGAAAAATCTTTGTTATTTGTAAGATAATTAATATCATCTTGGGAAGTTTCTAAGACCCTCCTTGTAACAGTTTTCAATAAATTTTCTATGACATTTAAAATTTCCGAAATTTTATTAATAAATGCTAATTCCGCCTCAAGCATGTAAAATTCTGATAAATGCAAACGTGATCGTGAATTTTCAGCTCTAAATACTGGACCCATTGTGTAGACTTTACTCAAACCATGGGCAACTGCTTCTAAATGCAACTGACCAGAAACAGTCAGATATACCTCAGAATTAAAGTAAGTCTTTTCTGTGGGCTCTCCTGGCTTTCCCATTTGTTTAATAAGTTCTTTGTTAGCAGGAACTGCAGTAAAAACTTCTCCTCCACCTTCACAGTCATTTGAAGTAATAATGGGTGTATTTATATGAATAAACCCCACTTCATTGAAATATTTTGTAACTTCAGTTAGCAGATTACTTCTAACTCGCAGCAATGAAGAAAATCTATTTGTTCTTGGTCTAAAATGTAAATATTGTCTAACATATTCTGGAGGATAAACTTTTCGAGGGGCAAAAGGATAACCTTCTGTGATAACACAGTCACCAATTAGTTGTACATTTTCAGCCTTTAATTCTTTCTGATTGTTTGGAGCTATTGATAATGTTCCTAGAACGGATACTGAGGCTCCTGTTCGGATATTTTGAGCAGCCTCCATCTCAGCAACAACCTGAATAGCTTCTCTAGTTGAACCATCATTTATATTAAAAAATATATGATTTTTAAGTTTTCTTACAGATTTAATCCATCCCTGAAATAATTTAAATTGTGAAAATAATGTTTTAATACATCATATAACATTTTTGACCTGTATAAAGGCTTTTTTTCCAACAGAATGTTGATTCAGCACCTTATTAACCGTCTCAGGCATTGTTGCATAGGCATGTTTAACTTGATGCAACACAGTTCCATTTTTTAACATTTTCAGGAGATTCGTATGACAACTTTTAAACACTTCTAAAATACATAAAATTAAAATTATCATTAGATGATTAAACTAAATATGTTACCCTCTAACCTAATAATCAGCAACTACTTTCTGCTTTTCATTACGAAATTCTACAAACTGTAAATAAAAAATCACTTTACTTCGACAAATATGGCCTTTTAGGGTTTAGAATATGATAGTTCCATTTAAAAATGACGTTTGTTTTATATTTTACAAATTCATAACATACTAATCACTATTCATAACCTAAATTTATGAAAATGGGAAGATAAGTTAGTGGCCTATGCACCTATGGTCAGTAATAAAGATGCTTCATAGGTGGAGATAGTATCAGTAATATCGTGTTAATTATTTAAAAATTTAAAGATATAAACTATTTTTTAATGTAAAATATCTTTTAGATAAAGTTTTTTGAACTGAAAATATTTTGAGTGAGTTATAAATACTTAGAAAGCTGAAAATACTGCTATCATTTTTTTTTTTAAAATTATTGTTAGGTGTGAAAGTGATATGAAACGTATTCAGATGGATAATATAATATAATGTAGTAAGTGCTTTTCTTTTGTTTTAATGTATTCATTATCATTAAGCATAATTAGTTTATTTAGAGTAATTGAAAGTAAAAAAATGTTCACCTAAAAGAAAAAAACAGCATTCCTGCGTAATATTAAACATAGCTTGTGCTCATTTATATTATTTTAAATTTCTAATTGAAAATATAATTTAATAACTTTTTAAAATCGTTCCCTAATCGACTTAACGTATTTTTGTACAGTAATAATATACTAATTTCTGCGATCAAGTTTGTTATTAAATCAGTCATTACAACCTTATTATTGTGTTCGCTATAATAATGCAAATAACATATTCATATATTCTGTTGCGTATTAATGTTGGGGGACAGCGTTTATTGAGATATTCGAGAAGGTTGTAACTGATGTAACTGATAAGAGATAGGCAAGATTTTTTATCGCGATACGATTTTAAACGAATAAAACAGTATGCATTCCAAGCGATGTCCTTTTAGTGTCCGTGGTCAGTGTCACTTCGGGGTTTCTTTCGAATGGTTGGTGTGTTTGTGTTATTTTTCCGGATTTGAGATTTTGATTGGCTTTTTATAGTATTTGGTAAGTTTATTTTTTATTATTTTATGTGAAACCTTCATTTGCAGGATAATTGTAGCAGGTAGATAATTAATAAAATCGGATAAATAACATGACGGTACAACTTTAAACGATGACAGAAATATCAAATCCAACTTTTTGTGTTTCGAAAGTTGAATATTTTCTCGATTTTGTTTAAACATTTAATATTCGCTGCTAAATTAGTTCTTTCTTCTAAGAAATCTAATCGTAACTGAAAGCTTTTAAGACTTTTGTTGAATTCGAATTCTTTTTACACGTTTTATAGGTCCTAGACCTTTTACTACTTTTGCTCCTTTTCAAGGAGAAATTGTTATAAACTTTTTGATCTATACCTGCTTACTAAAAATCAGTTTTGATGCGTGCTCTTTCTGTTTCAACTTTGAGCTTGTTTCTCTAACTTTAGACTTTTGGTTTGAAAAAGATTTGATGATCTACGATGTACTTCATATTTTATACATATGAATGCATCTGTTTATTGCTCCTTGTGTAGACGATTTTCTATTTTTAGCAGTATTTTATTAAAGATTTTATAAAGTTTTTTCAGTTACATTAAATGGTGGCTGTTGTAGAGCACAAAAGATAAATAACTCCTAATTAGATATTTTAATTATTTTCTAAGCGACAAATGCATATTTTTGTTAAAAAAAAAAAAAAACGCTAGTAAATTTTACTTTCAAAATTGCATTCATTTTCCGTTAATATCTGTAGTGTTTAGCGAAGGGGAAACATTTGTATGGACGCAATTCAATAAATCATATATATATATATCGTTATTTTTAATTGCCATTCAGTATAATATAAAACAAAATGATCCTAGATTATGGGTAATATTTGGTCGTTACGTTCGTGATATTCTCCTAAACTGCTGAATCGATTTTGATGATTATATTTTGCTCATATGATCATTTCAGGAAAGGTTTTAGCGGCTAACATATTATACTAACCCTCATTAGTCTTTTATTTGTTTACAAACTAGTAATAAAACACAAATAGAAAGGGAGGACGTCGGGTACAAGTAAAAGCGCGCAAAAAACTCCTAACATTACTGAAATTAATATTAAATGTCGATTGGACAATCATTACTATGTCATTAATTTATACATAGATTCATTCTTGTGAATGCTTACAGTTTACAACATAATAACAGTAATAATAATTCGATACGTTTTGAATTTGATCTTCTAACTTCTAACCCAAAGAAAACACAACAAGAAATTGCTACTTACCTAAAGATAATTGTGTGTTCAATAAAATAGACTACGGGACGATCGGTTGGACGGCTCACGTGTTAGTGACTAAAACGTGCACCATAAGAATTCATGTACTATTTCCGTGATATTTTTGCGCAAAAAAGTTTAAGCTCTTGTAAATCAGTATTTCACGAATATTGTTTATAATATGATTGCAAATGATTTCAAATGAAAATTACATGTGTCTCTATGCTGAGAAAATACAAACATATAAAGAAAGTTTAAAGAAATTTTTATTCGCCCGCCACACGGGCAGCCCGAGCTCGATTCAATTCTCGGCCAATTCAATACCTTTTTCTATTGGTAAATAGGTAAACTGACATATTTAGCTTATAAGGAGAAAAACATTGATAATAATTAATCAAAATTTGTAATCAATGTGTTTTTATTATTATTACTTAATTATAATTTGTATCTATAATTAAAGAACTTTGGTACAGTATTCCACGAAATCTTTTTTCTACTAAATTACATATAAAAATATGATACTGATCACTAATGCAGTCAACAAATAGCACAGGCGCTAGTATGTTGTCTATGTCGTTTTGTTTGAAAGCCTGAACAGCAGTGTTGACCAACATTCCATGTATTTTCCGCAGCGTTACAAAATGGAACATTTGCATTGGCGGCTTCTACTAAGTTTTCTTCACTTTTGCTCACGTTCCTAAAGGAAAGGTCATTTTTGAAATCGACCAAATTCACGTTTCTATTACAGTTGCACTTTCCGTTCTTTGCGAAACTGTGGCTATTGCTTACTTTTGAATTTTTCGAATGTCGTTTTATTAATATTCCTGCAGGCACCAAGTCGCGATTTGCCGATTGCGCTTTCTTCGTTGGCGTTGCCGAATAATGATTACCCTTTAAACTTGACGCAGATGTTGCTGATGATCCAATTCCACCGTGACTGATAAGAGAACCGAAAACAGTTGATGGCGATTTTGTCAGTGTTACTTTTCTCGAAGAACCATACACTGTTCCTATTGAATTTGATCGGCAATCTAAACATGTGAAAATGTAAAAATTCTTTCCGTTCTTTTAACCCACTTCATTCAAATAAATGGTACCTACAATTTTGTTCTTAGGAACAATAAGAAACATCATTTCAAAATTAACTCTTAAAGGGATTCAGTAGTACACGCGCCGTAAAGCAAATACTAGATTATCGGTTCTAGATATTATGAGTTTAATATTTGCAACAGAGGTTTGAAATTTTGTAATAAGGTAGATAAAGCGTTGTTCTAGAGCCTGTCGAAGGTCATTTTTTAATTTTTTAATTTCTAATAAAAGTACGTGTCCTACAAGAAGCATCAACTTTAAGCACTTGTAAAAGCTTTTAATGACCAAATTATTGAAAACCAAAAACGTACCGAGTTAGTGTGAACCCTTGTCTGTTACCGTACAAAAAATCACATATTTATCTCGCAGCGATAAAATATGTGTCCTACAAGAAGCATCAACTTTAAGCACTTATAAAAGCTTTTAATGACTATATTATTGAAAACCGAAAACGTACCGAGTTAGTGTGAACCCTTGTCTGTTACCATACACGAAGTTAGATATTTATCACGTAGCATTAAATCATAATGTTTAGAATAGAAACCCATGTTTTCGGAAAAATTCACAATAGACACGAGCAGTCCAATGCGGTCAATCCCGTTAATAGATGACACCGACTTTTCTGTTTACCGATTGCAACCGCGAATAATGAAATTTTTAACCGCGAATACAGGAAGTGGGTTGCAATTTTTTCACCTGCGAATAATGAAAACGCGAATAAGGAAACCGTGAATAAGGAACTTTTACTTGAATAAAAAATTAGATAACAAATAAATGTTTCACCATTATTTAAAATCGTCAAAAAGAATGCAGTCTTAAAATAGTCAAACATTTTTAGTTTTAATCTGCTTTTAAATATCCAGTTGCGTAACGTAAATTTCTGTAACCCGGGGCGAAGCTCGATCCTTATGGAAAATTGTCTTCTGTCAAACTCTTTGATACTTTGGATTCTGGTAGCACCCGACGTGTATATCAAAAATGCAATGGGCACTAAGTAGTAAAAGCTCATCTTTTTGAGATATAGCTCCTTAGTCTTAGGCCAATCATTTATTTATTATTTAATTAATATACACATATGCATATATGTATACTTGAACATATTCAATGCGTACAAGGATAACAGATACTTTAGAAGTCCTTATGAAAAAACGTAACTTTAAGCAACCGTATTCCAAAAATGTGAGTTTTTACGACTTAGCGCCCATTTTAACTGATTTACACGTGAAGAACTACCAAAATACAATGTTTCAAATAGTTTGACAGAGGACCATTTTCCGTAAGGATCTAGCGGGGTCCTTTGTCGTCCTTCGAAGTTTGGCAATTGTAATCTTTTGTTTAAGTGGATTGTAGTGGAAAAAGGTGTACATAAAAACTTATTCTTTTAATTTAACATTTGAAGAGATTAAATGGGATAAAATGTTAAATATATCTAAAAAAGTTGATAAAGAGCAAATATAAAGATAGGAGACGACAAATTAGAAGAAGTGACTGACTTTAGGTATCTCGGAAGTCAGATAAGTCAGGACGGAAGGAATAGGGATATGAAGCAGAAAATAGCAGAAAAGCAGGGTCGTGTCGCCTTCAGTAAAAAGAAGTCAGTTCTATGCTCGTGAACGGTTAATTGAGAAATTCGAAAAAGANAAATACGTGTCCTACAAGAAGCATCAACTTTAAGCACTTGTAAAAGCTTTTAATGACCAAATTATTGAAAACCAAAAACGTACCGAGTTAGTGTGAACCCTTGTCTGTTACCGTACAAAAAATCACATATTTATCTCGCAGCGATAAATCACAATATTTAGAATAGAAACTCATGTTTTCGGAAATTCACATCAACAGAAGTCAAGAAGACAAGCATTTTATGTAACAGGAAGTTCGACAAGATGTTATTCACAAAATACGCTGGTATATAAATAATTGATTACCTTATCGAATCGCCTTGCATTATTCATTTAAAATTTTCTACTGTAAGGGTCATCTTACCTCTTGAATATGACATATCTTTACTCGGAGAACTTGCAATACTTCGTCTAGCAACATCTTGGAATGTAATTGGTGAGTACATTCCTCTTCTATCTTCGTTCATTGCATAGGTTGGTGCATTATATCTCACATCCAAAAGCTCACCTTCGATTTCGGCAAATGGTGTGTCCAAAGTTCTTCGCAGTGGTGTTCTTGCTTCCCTTTGTTGCAACCAATAGGTTTTCATAGTGCCTACAGTATAAAATTTCTTCTAATGAAAATCTCGCAGCATTTGTGTTTTTGTTATAAATCACCTTTTCCTTTTACTTGAACTTCCCCTCGTTCTGTAACCCTATAACATTCGGGCAATAGCTCCTTGGTCGACTGTGATATGTGTATTTTCATTGCTTCACTTGTAGATTCCATTCGAGATGCTGTATTAACACTATCTCCAAATAGACAGTATCTTGGCATTTTTAGGCCCACAATTCCTGCTACAACTGCTCCCGAGTGAATTCCTACCCTTATTTGCAGATGTTGCCCTGCATATTAATAATTTCTCATTAGATCGCATTCGAAATCTTCGTTTAAAGTTTATTAAAAAGTAATTGGCAACAATTTGAAGATATTACCTGTTGAAGGGTCTTTCAAGTCAGTTATTGCATCTACCATGTCGAGGGCCATATCACAAACTCTTTCTGCGTGATTTACCTCTTTTTCTGGAGCCCCAGATACCACCATATAAGCATCCCCTATGGTTTCCACCTAATTAAATGTAAAAATTACATATTGATGGTAGTTTCAAGTTTCAAAAGTACAGTTTGCGATTTAGAAATATTTATTCATCTATTACAAAGTAAAATTACAATGGAATCCTTTTAATTTCAAAACTCTGATTAGAAAAATTACTTTAGGTACTTTTGCACTTTTTAAATGATTTCAGACTAACCTTATAGACTCGATTTCTTTCAGTAAGGGTATCAAATATAGAGTACATTGCATTGAGCATTGAAACCACTTCCATTGGAGTTATTCGACTACAAATTTCTGTAAATGTTACAATATCCGAAAAAAGAATGGATACGCTGTCAAACATCTAAAAATAAATAGAGCAACTTTTTAATTCGATAAAAGTTTCAAGTATTCTCTCACTTTTATTAAACAGATTAATTAAAACATATCATATTGTTATAAACGAATGCCGCAGGCGATCGATACCTGCGGCGCCGCCTTTGTAGTTACTTGAAAGCGTACTGTAGATTATGCAGCAGACGAAACACAAAACTGAAATAAATAATCATTTTTTGTACGTACCTCGCAGGTATCAATTGGATTTTCTCCAGTTCTTAATCTATCCGCGACCTGTTTTGGTATCATTTGATACAGTAATTCATCCGTTCTTCTCATTTCATCGTCTAATTTTCTCATCGATTCTTCTAATTTCTTACTCTTTTGCTGTTCTTGATCTAAAGCTAATTTTAATTCTACCGACTGTTGCGTTCCAGCTAACATAAGATCTCTAAATATAAATAAAAGTGTTTACCATAAGTAAGATGTGGTATCAAAAAGATCTTTTTTAATTAAAACTAAGAAATAAACAAAATGATTGCTTACAGTGCACTTTTTTAATTGGATTATTAATAGAATTTAAATCAGAAACTCAAACTCACCTGCTAAAATCATGCATTGATAAATCATTTATGTATAAGCCGGTAGCTATTAAGGAGTTAAGATCAGGCATTACGGGAGTCCCTAAATACATAATCATTTTCCAACTTTCCATGTAAATCATCTGACCTACGGGAATAATTAACGTAAATATATGTTTTCGTGCAAACGGCTAGTCGAACTTTAATTTGACTAAAATCTTCCTCTAACATTTACAAACGGAATATTTATTGTACTGAAACACCTACCTACTACAACCGAGTGGTATATTTGTGTCTGTGATTTATTTAAAAACTGAATTGGTCGTTGGTTTATATTTTCAATTTATTTGGGAATACCTTTCAAACGCAAGTTTCTTTCTTCTGGGACCTCAAATTCGTCGGTTATTAAAATTTCGTCTCTACGTCTATCAGTCGGATTATCGCTCATAACTGGCTCTACAGAAACCAGCTCAAAAATATTGTTGGTCCGATAAAGTATCTACGATACAAGTTCAATTAGTTTAAACTCAGTAGTGCATCCAAAAATTTGATCAATACATTAGATGCACATATAGGTACAACACAGTGGAACTCGGTTATAACGAACACGGGTTATACTGAACGTTTGGTTTTAACAAATAAAATACTTGCATATAGCGAAGATGTTTGTAACGAACAATCGGCTTTAGCGAACGTTTTTGAACGAGAAATTAGAAGGTCCGGTAGGCTAGGAATAGTTCTTTGTATGATCGACCTCACTGAACATGAATGTAGTTTAAAAATTCTTACATTCTGATAATGTCGAACCTTCTATGTTTCAAACCATGTTTAAATAAAAAATGTACTGTTTTACAGTACAAAATGTACATTATACATGCTGTATTTTTGATATTAAACAGTAACAAATAAGGTTTATTTTTATGTACTGTTTGTGTATAGATAAATGTTATTTTATAAAAGTTAACAATAACGAAACAAAATTGTTTGTCGCATCGTGCTCGTGATAACTGAGTTCGATTGTACATCGAAGGAGTTATAATAAAAAGCGAACTATAATAAAGACCTAGAAAAACACTGTTAAAATTTTCAAGTGATCTCAGATTTTTTTGACTCTTCATCTTCAGAAATGCCATCAAATAACCAGATAAATCAACAGTTTCAATTAAAATTCGCACATACTTTAGGTACTACGGATTGAATGAAATCAAGGAAATATGAGTTTTTAATTTCAATCTAAACAATTGATGTAAGTTAGTTTTTTAATTTTATCTTATCTTAAGAAAATTCTCTTAAAACTTCAGCTTATCTTAGATAAACCCTGTAAACGACGTGGAGTTCGTTTTCCATTAATTAGCATGACATTAGCACACAAAAGTTTACTTTTTTCAAATTCTCGTGGCAGAATTTCGTAGAAAATTAAATTTCCTACAGAAAATGCCCTTAGCACACAGTTGACGAATTACGTATTTTTAAATGTTATACTCGTTTAAATGTTATCATTAAAATTGTACATTGTTGAATTAATTTTCAAGAAAGTTAGAAGTGCTTTAAAGCCTATAATTACCCCACATAAAAGTTTCATATTTAAGCTCAGGCAAAGGAGGACATAACGGATCACTGAAGATGAATTTCTTCATTATTTTGTAGCTTGGTGGGTTAAAAAGGCTATCAAGAATTTCCAGCCAAGACTGTAAATAAATTGCAGCAGTTTATCTTTTTATAAATTTCTCTAAGTTAATGTTTTTTGGATTAAAAATACGCATATTAATTTATGCTGGAAATATGAGTTCGGAACTAATTTAATAATAATTATACAAATTCTCATTGTGTGCAATTTTTGTGATAATATTTGAACAGTCTTTGAAAGCATTGAATTAATTAACAAATTGAGAATTAAGGATGCTTTTCGTAGTAAATTTAATTCCCGACGAAATAATGCTAATGAAAACAATTGAATGGAAAACAAACTAGATGTTTGCAGAGTTGATCTACATAACTGAAATGTGGAAACATTAATTCGTTCAAAACCATTTAAAAGCTTTAAATTGCATCTATGGGACATATTTTGTGTTTATATGAAAAAGGCGAAGGTATTTGTACGAATTTTCCCATAATACGTCGTATTTTTCAAAAGATGATTCCGTCCTTTGATCATTGCATGTAATAAAATATCCCTGTGTTCGTTTTCCAGCTCCCTGCTAATATATAGAATTTCTTTGAAACCATTATTTTACTGTACGCACTGACTTTAACTTAATCTCTTTTTCTTTTATCGATTATCGGTATCATTATTTGCTAGCGTTTAATTAAATTTGCAAACTTTCTATCAAAAAACGGTTTTAACGTATTATTTTTTTATTTGAGTAAAAAATACTTAAAAATACTTACAGTTTCAAATTTAAAAGCTATCAATGGCCGAACTAAATCAAACCAATTAGTTATTTTCTTTCCTATTAAGTCTGGGAGTACCACCATTAAAGAATTTCCTATACTACGTACTAACATGTCCGATCTACAAAAGAAATAAAGGAAAAAATTGTTTAACGTAAGATAACTTTATTAAAAACTAAAACTGCGTTGTTAATGTCTACATTAGAAGGGGGCCAAGCTTTGTTGTAATTAAGGCGACTATTATTTTGGTTTACTTAGCTTTTTCTTAGCTGAATAATTAATCCTTATGTCGGATAGGTGAATGATGAGGATATCGTGGATAGGGAAGGTTAGAAATGAAGAAGTATTCGAAAGAATAGGCGAACAGAGGAAATCAATAGGCGAGATTAGGTTGGTAGGACACATTCTCATGCATGAAGGGCTAGTCAGAGGCATATTAGAGGTCGAAACAGGAGTTAAGAGAAGCAGAGGTAGACCTAGACAATAAGCCAAAAATTGGATCTAGTAATTGTAAACTCCGACGGAACTAGGGCAGTATTTTTCCGAAATAATTTTATTTATTAAAGCAACCTTAAGGGGTAAAGTTGAGTTGTGTTAAACGAGATGAAAAACTATCCATTCGATTCACGTTGGATTTTCTTTTAAGTGTTTGCTACGATTTCCGCGGTTGAAGTAGATTATAAATAGTGGAACATAAAAGCGAACGAAAACCGTACGAAAAAGGGATTACAATTTCGCCACTAGTTTCGTATATATTTCGGACACGTGTATATTTAGTAAAGTGAATGAGAAAACGTTACATTTGCATACCGAATTAAATTAAATAAGGTAGCGCTGCATTTTCACTGTGGAAATTCGAAGAAAAAGTAAGAATTTGTTTCTGTGAGTAAAGTGAGAAGGTAATGTGAGGGTAATAAATGGAATTTAGTGGGTTGCTTCCTTACAATAAATTTTAAGTAATAAAGAAAACAAAAATATAAAACTGTTCAAACATAAACGAAAATTCAACTTTAATTATTTCATTTATAACTATAAAAAGTTCATTCTCTCGTAGAGGGAGTATTAAATGCAATGAGTTTTTAAATCACCCCACAAAATTTGCAAACATTTCCCAACGGTACAGTTAAGCACAGGAATATTAAAGAATCATTTAAAGCCCGAAAGTTTGCAAATAATACCATTAATGTATCGAGAATTTAGTGTGTTTGTGGATCTTAAAAAACAATTTAAAAGTTAGTTTCATTTACTGGAGCTTTTATAAAAAATCAGCTTTGAAATAAGTTCTAGTTGTATTATCGTGTTTGTGTTTATTTATGGTCTTCCTTATTTGTATTTTCTTTAAGTTAGACGTATTTGTGTGATAATTGTGTTCGAAATATTGTTTCTTACCCAAATACTATACAAAATGGAAATATTTCAAACAACACAGAGGCATTTATTGGAAGGTGTTTCTCCTCTCTGGTCATAGTGAGAGAAGCGAGGGTGAAAGCTCTGTTATCAAAAGTTAGTTGAAATGTAACATGAACCATATCAAACAGTAGTTCTTCTTTTACCAATTCAATGCCCATTTCTTTATGATAGAAGTGCCTAGCAACCTGTAAAGAAATTGGTTAACTCAGACTTGAAAGTCGATAAGAAGCTTTGGTTTCCTTTTAAAGATCTACAGATTCAATATACCAAACTTTGCACTTTTATTATTATGCCACTAATAAATTGTGCAAGATGGTGTTAATATGAGAGCTGTGAGATACCGATAAGGGAATAGTAGTTATGATTTATTTCATTTCTCATCTTCTGCTGTAATTTCAGCGATAAAACTTTCTAAAGTCTCTTAACAGCGACGGTCAAATATCCAATTCGACTGATGGCCTGTTACATTGATTTCCTGTCGGATGAATTAGTACAACTCGTCGGTTTGTCTGTCGGGATGTTCTACATAGATTGCTTTATCTATATCTAGCTAAAGATATGGGCTAAATGATAGTTGATTCGAATTTCCCATCCGAACATCGAGACAGTAAAACTAATATTAATAGAAAGGCGACGTGCAGGGATAAATATGTCACCGACGGTAATTGAATCGATTAATTTTAATTGTAGGTACAAGTGATTGTTCCTTTAACGACTTCTTCGGTCAACAAATGATTTTACCTACTCACTTAATGTTTCTCGTTTCGGAATTGTTTGGTCTGCCTCTCTGACTCGGTTTTTATCGATAGGGAAAACAGAACGCGGAGTTCTTGCATGATTTCATGTCTTTACGCTAAAATTCACTCAAATGCAAAATTTTGTAAATACTCTACGTTAAAATAAACATGACATTCATAATTACGAATGAAAAATGTAAATACAGCACAAGTGGCTACATCAGGGGACTTGAGTCCTTGATTGGTTCTTATTTCGGGGGTTAATCCGAGGTGCAGGTGCTTCAGAGGGAAGACCAACATACGTGTTTGAAAGCAGAGAAAAAGACGACATTACATTACATTTTTTTTTCATGATTAGAACATTTGTAGCATTGCCGTTCAATGTGCATTAGTGTTTTCCTCACTAGGCCCATTAATCCGAAGAATGGTTTAATTGTGGTAGATTAACAACATATTTGATAGGGTATGCGGATAAATCTTGACTTTTTCTTTTAAAAAAGGCTTGAGAAATGGCTCAATTAAAGATATTAATGTGCGAGTGTTCCTAGCCAATAAAATGGTCTAGAAACCTCATCATATTATATAGGCATAAAGGTGCGATATGTTTTTAAGAGATATCTATGATTGATTTGACGAATTAATTTTGTCAGATGAATTATTCTCGGCTCTTCCACCAAATAATTTAAAAACATTAGGAATTTAGATCCAGAAATCTTATCATATTATATAGGCATAAACGTGTTATATGTTTTTAAGAGATATAAATGATTTAACGAATTATTTTTATCTGTCAGATAAATTATTCCCGGCTCCTTCACCAAATAATTTAAAAACATTAGGAATTTAGATGGTGTGTATTGGCTATCAACTGATTATGTGTATTTCTATCTAACAACGTTTTTGAAACAATGTAACATCTGCACGCTAATTTAGAAAATACCTACCTCTTTAATCTGACCCATTGTATAATAGACAAACCCTCGTCGTTTACTCCTGTAGTGGAGAGTAAGCCCCTGTCTGGTTTCATTTTCACATATAAAACTGGGAGCTCGCATTCGAGGATAAGAGAACTTCAAATATTCATGAAGGTTATCAAGACCATTAAGAAAATCTCTCATGTGCCTACCCAATACTGACAGCACTCTATCATAACCATATTGACTAACGAAACCAACGAAGAATACACCAAGCTGTTCGAAAAAGTTCCTTTCCGACACATTCAAAATCTGTAAATAAAAAATCAACCCCGAAAGTAATTTTATTGATTCCTGTAAATAATGACAGTGCCAGTTTCAAGTAGTTAAAAAAATCCCAAAGACACGATGTGACGCAACGAGTAGACTTTGAAACTTTTTGTAATAAATAATTAATCTTGTGATGAATAGTGAAGGTTTTTAAGGTCTTTAGTAAAAAGCCAGCAGATTGTTTATATCATAATTTAAACCGAAATGTGAATGTAATTTAGCTATTTTACAAAAATATATAAATCAAACCTGAATTGCTTTCTTAGCCAATCTAGGAATCAGATTTTCTGGATAAACTTGGTGTGTACTAAAACTTGGCTGATCAACTTGAGCTGCTTTCCTAATTTCTTCCCATTTGTCTTCACCGTAGGTTTGTTTGATGTATTCTGACAAATTTTCTAATATCAGTCCATACATGATTCCTGTTGGTCCTGTAACAATGAAGATATGATCTTAAATCATCGATAAACGATGTAGGTGATGATTTATTCGTTTCTATTAGTTTGTAATTATAATGGTTCTATGAGAAAAATGACCAAGACTGTCATCATAATGACAACAATAACTTTAACATGTTTGAGAACTTTCCGGAAAACTTCTCTTAATAGTTCTTTGGTTTTATAATAATTCTAGCAGACGAACAGATGTTTTCCTTTGCAATTAGTATAGTTTACGCAAAAGATCCCGCTGGATCCCTACGGAAAATTGCCCTCTGTCAAACCCTTTGAAACATTGGATTCTGGTAGTTCTCGACGTGTAGATTAAATGTCTCAAACAGTTTGACAGAGGGTCATTTTCCATAAGAATGTAGCGGATACTTTGGATGGATACTTATTAGTATTTTAATTATTATTGTAGAACATTGTTTTACCATATATATATATGAATAGGGTATCAATCACATTTCTCTACTTCAGGAATTGATTCCACACTTCATTTGTAACAGAAAATGTCCCTTGGAAGTTTTTGTGAAAACGCGATCCCATTTTCGAGCATTACTACGTTTAAATGTCATTAGGAAGTTCTCACCATCTTCCAACTCTCCGAATTCTCAAGTTGAAATGCGCTTCTCGAGACATTGAGCGTAAAATCTCAAGTAATAAAATTAATAAACGAAGCAAATGAAAGGCGTATTGAATGAAAAATTTCTTTGAATTAGCTTAGTTTGAGTATTTTTTGGTGTCTTCTTTAAAATTCCAACATTTCCTTTTATATTCTTAGAAAATTCAATCGTTGTTTTTTGTAGTTTCCGAAATCTATAATTTACCCAACTCTGTTCACGGTATTATATATTCTTTTGAATTTGTTGTTACAGGACTGTTTATGCTAATAGGTCATGAAAAAACGTAGCCAAAAAGCGTAAAAGACAGTTTTGAATTCGAATACACTCCTCAATGTGAATGTACTATAGATTAAACATGATATAAATTTCGTTTAAAACATAATAAAATATGCACTTAAGTGAGGTAAAGTCAAATTGGGTTAGGCTAGGCCTAAGTTGAGTATCCCTGTCTACAACTATCTCTTCTTAAAAAAATAAATTAATAACTTTAACTCCTGATGATGTCCTAAAGGGTGAAGTAGATATTGAATACTATTAATCGGTAATTTATTTTTATACCTAAATGTATTTTAAAATATTCCACCAAGAGACAGTTTAAATCACGCTGTAACATGTACGCATTAAATTTTTCAATTAATATTGTCTATTATTAATATTTTTTCTAAAATTGTTACGCTAATTATATCCATCTGTTGCTAAAACAAATCTAATTATGACTAACGAATAATAATAAATAATATTTAGTTAATCCAGATTATTTATTCTGCAGCATTAATAATATTAATTATTGCAGCTGTAATTTGTTTTGACGTCCTTTTCATGCAATTACTGTTTTAATATTCCTCTATTGTGTTGCACGCATACATACATTGATTAAAAGGAGCAGGAGCCTATTCCGGTGTACAAGAATATAATCAAAATGCTTCGTTCATCTTAACTGCACTTACGTCAAAGCGGACACGTACGAACCATTGCTTTGTCCATGTGTTTATTATTAGCAATCGAACGCCATAAACTATTACATATCTAACTATTATTGGCAAAAGGTCAAGAAAATTCGGTAGCTAATCTAAAGCGATCGTTATAATTGATTTCACTTTAAAAATTGTAACCTCCGCACACATGAAGGTACGAACAAAGGGTAGAAAGGTGGAACTTGCTTACAACAACATCGGTTATAACAACATCTCTGATATAACGTCAGTTTTTAGTAGTCCCGCAAATTTACTATTCAAACCAACGCTAATAAATAATCTCGATAATAACAACAACAAACTCGGATATTACATCATATTTTTATAGCTACAAATCCTTGAAATGGTTGAATTATTACCGGTACTTTCGTCTGTTAACACAATGAAAAGTTATCTAGTCCTAATTGTTGTTGTGCAAAATGTTTCCGAAGTTGTTCAGTTTATTTCGTAAATCCAATCGTCTAAAATTCCGTGAATAACGACATTCTGTTATTGCGTCAAAATATCGACGGACGCTAGCGTGTCGCTATAACCGATATGTTGACAATAAACTTTTTTGAAGTCACACTTCTGTTCGCTGATTGGGGTGTGTCGCCTCCTTCTCCCCTACCTGAGGCATAAAGGGTTTGTTAGAGACACATTGGAAATCGAAACAGAAGGGACAGAGAAAGACATAGATTACATTACTGTGCACAAACAGTCCGGAACATAAAAAAAATATGATTAGAGTAGGTATACTTTTCTTATTTAAAAATTATCAAGGTCCATATTGAACTAAGCAAAAAAACGAATGTCCTGTAATAGATTTTTACCATGAAATACATGATTCTATTAGACAGCATGGTGTCGCTTCCACGTTCACCCCCTCCCTTAAGGTAGACATTGGGAGTGCTCCGAATTAACAGATTGATATAATATGAAGTTATTCGCAGTATATTGTCATTTACCAATCGCCTCTGATTGTACTTTGTCTTAAAAACTTGACCAAAAATTGTTAATTAATTCTTTGTGTTATTATCTCAACAAACGGAAAGCACTAAATAAATTAACAAAAAGTAAAATTAATTTATTTAATTAATTAATAAAAGAGAGAATCGACATCAAAAGAATTGTTATATATTTTTAATTGACCATGTTTATCTAAATGTTCACAAATAGAACGCAAAGGTCGGCTCCTCATTCTTTGATTTTTTTAACATAACCCTTTTTCTCTTTTCTTTCTAAGTCCGCAGATGTAATTTCAATATTAATACTCAGAAAAAAATTAATTAAAGACCAAGCGAAAATCCGTTTCGTAAGTTTCTATGTTTATAAGTTTGTGAATAGAAGCTCTTCGAAAAATTCCATTATAAAGTTTTAAGGGTAAAAGTACAAACATTGCAAGTTCAGAACAGAAATAAAACAGAACGGTGTACAAGTCGGTCTTCTGTAATAGTTAGAAAATTAATAATTATGAAATCAGATTGTGGTGTTATTTTCATATTAAAAACTTTGAGATAAAACAAAGCATTTTGTTGTATTCACAGTAATGAATTCTGACAAAGATATTATCAAAATAAATTCAGTTATCCTATTAAAAGAAAAACAAATCGAATAGTTTGTTAAGTTTCGATTTTCATGTAGAAATAACAGAAAATATGAATTACTTAAACGCATTATATCTTGAGCAACAAGACATCATTTGTGAAGTTACATGGTTTTGAATTTAAAGAATATTTTATCTGGAGTGACACAGGGATCTCATTAAGTTAAGTATTGACGCAATAATAATTGATAAATGCTGTATCGTAAAATCTGCAAGAAAATTTCTGTTTTTAAATAACGCAAAATAAAAGAGGAAAAAAAGATAATTTATATAATATTCCTTTTGGTTATTTTTTCATTTATATATTTACGCCACGCCAGTACTTCAAGTATTTTTGTTAAAAGATTAAAATCCTGTTTATTTTCTTAAATGAAAAAATTTTCATGTGTGAAAATGTTTGCATTTTAGAAAAATAAAGAATACAATCAGAGTTACAAAAAAAGCAGCGCCAGTGGAAGAATTACGGTCACTAAAGTTCCATTCAAACTCATTTGATCGTATTTGGGAATTATTATTATCGTGGAAGGGCATTCTAAAACAAACTTCTCAAATCTTCAAAGGCATTTTCAACAATCAAATCGGATAAACTGTTTATGTTTAAACTGGATTTTTTAAAGGACCATGATCACAAATGTACCTTATTCGGGATTTCACATTTTGATGGTGCCGTACAATAAAAAATATTTATCACCTTGCCGTCCAGTTATCTCTTAAAATCGAAAAACATTTTATATTTAAGTCTCTTAAAGTATCGCATAGTTATGTATGTATAAGTTCGGTTCGGATGGCGAATTCGGGCGAATTCCAAATTAAATTAGAATATCGCGACGAATGCGACGATTATTTCGTCATCGATTGATATAAAATTGAGCAGATCGGCATATTCTTAAATCGTTTTTCGCCGAATCACAGCAACTTAAACTAACAGACTATAGCCTAAACTTGGAGAAGGGCATAATTTCTTTTTTGTTTTTAATGATAAGTATTTTTTGAGTATTATGTCGTGGTCGTACTGGTGTGCAAGGGAAACAAAACAAGGGAAAGAACGAATATAATTATAGAAAACGAGAAATTAGAAGAAGTGGTCGATTTTAGGTATCTAGGAAGTCAGATAAATCAGGACGGAAGGAGCAGTAAGGATATAATGCAGAGGATAGCGCAGGGTCGAGTCGCCTTCAATAAAAAGAAGTCACTTCTATGCTCGCAAACGGTTAATTTAGAAATTCGATAAAGGTTGTTAAAGGTGTATGTTTGGAGCGCGGCGCTGTACGGGTGCGAAACATGGACATGGACAATGGGCGCGGCGGAAACGAAAAGGTTAGAAGCGTTCAAAATATGGTGTTATAGGCGGACCCGAATCTTTCTAATTATATTGTCTATAATTATACTGAAAAAGTATTCTGCCTTTCAAAGAAGTTGAACTGGAAGAAGACGTCTACCGGATGTCATTCTCACAACGTGCTGGAGTTAGGCTTAGTTAGTTAGGCAGTGACCGAGTTAGGCTATTACAAATGACGATTAATCAAGAAGTTCTGCATCTGACATGGAAACTATTTAAACAGATGGCAATCTACGCAATTTTCGGCATCTACTTATTTTACTCAAAACAGGTCGCGATTTGCTAATTTACTTCGGCATTCGTTCAAAATCATACGTTAGAAATATGAATAATTTATATGAAGTCATCACACTTGTATATTTTTTTAAGTGCCACAAATAAAAAGTAAAAATGTATTACGGGCCAAATACACCAAATTGGTTTCTATTTAAATTTTACAATGGTTCCTTATTGTGTACGTGAGGTAACGT